GCGGAGTCGGTAGGTCCAAAAAAAAATCGAGCACCCTCAAAAATGCGCCCCCCCCCCCCATGAAAAATCAAATGGTCCGTCCCTTATTAAGGATAACTAGGCTAATTATGCGCATAGAATGGGGCCATTAAGCCCGAGATATAACTACTGGGGATGGACATTTTGTCAACGCAAACTATTTTTTTTGGTGTTGTTGTCATTGCAAACAATTTTTTGCGCCTGCTTCCTTCTGCAAACAATTTTTTTTGTCCATCTGATTGCTGTGGATTTCATTATAAATTGATGATATATATATAGTTTCATTTGTGCCCGTTTACACTATATCGCATGTGTGATTGAACAACATGTGGTGTTGTCAGAAGTATAAATTTAATATGTAAACAGACATTTAATTTTTTAGGTATACTGGTCAAGCCTTTTGAAGGATTTTCCCGTGGGGGAGAGGGGCATTTTTGAAAAGGGACCCTTCTGTGTGATAATATATTAGAGGGAGATAGGAATGGCTGAAGGCCATAGGGTCTGGGGCATATTTCCCCAGAAAATTTTTGAAATTTGAAGCCCAGAAATGGAATTTCCTGCATTCTGAGCATTTAAATTTACTTTAAAATTTATGCTAAGTATACACACAAAAAATACACAAAAAATTATTAACAATAATTTATCATAGAAAAACGTAACAATTTAAATCGATTTCGTTAAACAAGGATAAAGGATAAAGCCTAAAACTTACTTTTTGTTTGTCAATTTGTTATTTTTCGCTGGTTTGTTTGTTTATATGTTTATTTGAGGGGGGGATATGATTTTGTGGGAGGGGGGGGCGCATAAGGGGATCATTTGCCTCCCCCTGGCTTGTATGATTGAACGAACATATTATAGATAGGCGTATTGGGTTACTGTGGGAAACAAGCCTGTTCGCGGGCTACCTGAGTATTGGGAAAAACAATGAACATATGTGAGACTTTGTGAGCGAGAGTTTTGTTTAAAAAGTTGGAGTATTTATAGTTTATTAAACTTTACTAAAACATAATACGAGAGTTTTAGTGTGCCGACACAAGTTCGGCACATGATAAAAAAGGCCTGGATATTGGTCCTCTCATTATTTACGCTACACAATGTCTTACACCAGTGCTTGTCCAATTACCTATTTTATACAAAATAAAAACAAAAAAAGAACCCAAAAAATAACTGTATTTAATAGATTAATATTTATAACCCATATGTAGATTGCGACATGTGCCCAGCGTCTCCCATCCCAGGGCTTTTGGGGTGAAGACCCTGGGTATGTCGGTGAGCACTCTGTTCATTGTTATTAAACCTTAGTTGATGTTGCATAATCTCATTAGCTTGCAAACTATTTTTTCCCTTTTCTCTATGTGTGCAAACAATTTACTTGCACTTTTCGGTCTTCGCAAACAATTTTTTTAAGAATTTTCAATCCCCCCTCCAAAAAAATAATGGTCCGTCCCTAAATAGTTGCCATGCCTCAGAGTCCCGGGGAATTTAATTTTCCACTTTTCCCTAGGTCCCGGGAAAATGACAAACTTTGTTCCACGTAAATTTTGTATTCCCCGGGATTTCCCGAGGTTCGCCCGGGGTTACCCTCCCCCCCCCCCCGGGCAAGACGATGATAGGTGTATTAATAGTAAACGTTTTCTAAAATTGACGAAATGACCCAGTCACCAAAATTGCTCCCTCCCCTCCAACCTCGTTCCCAGGCTCTTTGCTCTTGGGAAGCAAAGACCCTGGTCGGAGCTGGTCACGTGACCCATTGAAAATTGATAGCCCAAGAGGGGGGTGGAAAAGTCTCATATTACATGTTTCCACTTCCGCACTTCGATTGCAAGGAGTGGCCGTTCTGTACAATCATTAATTCATCTTCAAGAATCAGATATACCTCAAACTACTTGCTAAATTGATTTCTGTTTGCTTTTAAATTATACAAACATGCTAAAATGCAGATTCTTATACCAACAGAAAAGTCAGGAAATCAAGCAACGAGAACATATGACTGTACGCTTTGAAATATTTTTATTTTCTGGGGGTTCGCCGGTTCGGGCGTAGTTTTATTTCACGCATACGTTTATGTTGTGGCTCTGATATTTATAATATGCTTATAATATGCCAATGAATTGTTCCGGTATGGACATGGTATAAATTTTGTTAAACAGATGTCTCGAAAGCGACTGTTTATAGGTCGTAGGATTAGCGCCTTGCCGGTCTTAAACGTGACACATTTGGACACAAGCCAAATACACATTGTGAATGTCCATTCTATTGATTCTAAAACTGTTTATAGACATATTGCTCTAGATTTTTTTTTAAATGGCTATCATCGTTTATATTAAACACCAGGAAGACAAAATATAACGTACAAAATTGTTTGAAATCGACAGTGCACAGCTGACATACGACAATTCATAACTGCAAGAATTTCCTTTTTTGTCTGCACGAGTACCTGTTTGTTGAAGCCAAAATATTGCACAGCATCTCCTATAAATTCTATCGCCATTTACCCTCTCCCCTTAAATGCAAAGGAATGACAGCCGAAAAGGTTTAGCAAAGTATTTTTTATTATATCTGGTATAAAGTGTCCTACGTTTTATCAGGGACATACATAATTCATAAACTGTATATGCACACGAAGTCTCGCTTATATTAATGAGTTTTACTGTAACAAACCTTTTAAAGTTTCCATTGATAGATAGGTTGTTTGCCTCCAGTATTGTTTGGTAAAACAGACTATTAAAACTTCTAAAATGTCGATTCCAGTATACGATAAAGATTAAAGTTGATTTAAATATTGATAACTCACAGCGGCATTAATCCATTATACAAGTCTAAAGAAGCTGGACTATTCTTCAATAAAGCCTTCAATGGACAATGCCAATGTCAATGAAAGGTCTAATATTATACATGTTGCAAATTACTGTATATACAAAATATGAAATAATTTATATAAAGTACAATACCAGTGTCTGGTGCATATATCGTCCTAGATATTCAAGTTGTACCGCACGCACGGAAACGCATGTACGGCGTCTTGGCGTTTGTGTGATAACAGATAGCTAGCTACACTTCGACACTATCTTTCTTGATCGTCGAGTTTCAGCAATGTAAATGAAATGAATTTTATAGCCAGTCCATAACGGGTTTTAATCCTGTGCTTTTACAGTCAGAATAGCACTATTGTTTACACATGTTGGCGATGTTTGGGAAATCAAAGACAAAGGATCCCGTTATAAAATAAATCTTTTGTTTTGAATATCGGACAGGATACACTTCAACTATAAAGAACCATATCGTTCGTTTAATACCGTTTGATCGATCAGTCTGTGTAGAAGATATGTATGCGATACGTGCTAAACTTCGCAGGCCAGGCGCGTGTGGAGTGTTTTCCTTGCAAGTGAAATATGATCCAGCTTCTCGCTTGGAATGTAACGCAACACTTATTATTGATGACATTCAGTATAACAGGAAGTCTTTTCATGATCGGTACGAATTTTAGAACAGTTCCTTTCACAATCTTTTGTTGCAAATTACATTTTTATCACCCGAAATTATAACACATAAAGTTGCAATTTTCCAAACGCAACAAACAGGCTACTCTCCTACCCCTCCCTGAGATCAAATTCAATTTACCCCCAAAATCTGGGGGTTCACGTGACCAGCTCCGACCAGGGTCTTTGCTTCCCAAGAGCAAAGAGCTTGGGAACGAGGTTGCCTCCCCTCCTGGAATTAGCCTCCACAAGCCTCCACGGAAAGTTTTTCAAACCCATTCGCAGGCTAAAACCCATAGAGAGGCCTGCGGAGGAGGCTAATAAAGAACTTACATGACGTCTCGAGTGGAATGTTTTAGTTTTGGGCTTTTGGCACGAAAATTTTGGCGCGAGTTCTCGTGTGTAATAAAAATCCTTCTGAATATTTCAACGATCGCAACTATATTTTATTATTTTGTGAGCATCCCATCTTGTTTTCATGGAACGTGGCGGAGAGAAAAGGAAGCTAGATTATCCAAATTCAAATAACAAACGCACGAAGTCTGAAGAAACGAAACCGAGTGGGTTTGAACAAGAATTAGCAAAATTTGGTCCTGCAGAAAGTCGCGCGTTAAAGTGGGGTAGACCTCCACTACCTTCCCTGGACGCCTCAAAAGATGCCTTGGTCTTTCAACAACTTGACTTAGACCATTATATTGGTAAGAAATAATAGTCATATTATAAAATACTGTATTGGCAGTGTTTCAATATAAAGCATATAATGGCATAATATGAGCATAATTTATGCTCATATTATGCCATTATATGCTTATTGAAACACTACCAATACAGTATTTTTATATAATGCATAAATATGAGCATAAATATTGATAGAACAAGCTTTCGTTGATAGGGATGAAACAACCTGAAGGATAAATTCTCCTTATATGTTTTCAGGTAGTTGCATCCCGACCAACGAAAGCTTGTTCATTTGATTGGCACGACCTGTACTGGCAAAAACTGTTCAAGATATAAAATATTGATAGAAGTTCAATTTATGCCATAAACCTCTGAATATCCCCCCTGGATATACCCCCCCCCCCATGTATAAGCCTGCTACATTCACTAATGTATAAGCCCACTACATTCACTAATACCCTTCCTAATATAGGCGACTCTATATGTAAGTCCATGGGCTTATTATTGGACAGGTAATTATTATTGAAGGCAGCGACAGAGATTCAACAGCTCAGATCATTGACGATAATTACATTACAGTATTATACAGTAACATGTTAACCAACTTGTTTCATTGTGTTGTATACTGTGTGTTTATATTTCTTTTTGTTTACGATATATAGTATACACTCGAGTGCAATAAATGTTATTACTGACATCACATGTTGTTTGTATACCTGACTGGAAAGTTTGGAAATTGCACAACCGAGATTTCGAAAATTTAATAGTAAATATATAGAAAGCATCAAAATTGTCTGCCTGATATCTCGGTTGCACGATGCGAATATATAATCCCACATAAGCTTCCCCCCATGTTTAAGCCCATCAAAAAATGCTTACAGTACAGACAATATAAGCTAAGGGTTTACAGTATTAGAAGACATAATTTTGTCTAAAGATGGGAAACTTGTCTAAGGGCCTGTTCATATGGCAAAAGTTATCCTCATTAACAAAAAATTTTCGACTAGCCAAATACTTTTGTTCTGTTCATATGGAGAATGTTATCCCGCTTACTGGGTAAAGTTTCCGGCTGTGACGTAGCATTGAACAATGAACATCAGTTGAATTGAAAAGTTGCTGACACGACAAGAAAGTTGTCTCATATGAACGCAGTGTAACTTTTCGTATTATTTTCATACCAAGGCGAGATCTCGCTTGTAAACTTGTTGAAAAGTTTTCTCCCTAACTGGGATAACTTTTGCCCATATGAACAGGCCCTCAGATGAGAAACTTGTACAGAAATATTCAGTAAATGATGGGTGTCAGTCTTAACTTCTCAATCTAACTTTCTCATTTGTTAAATTTGAGAATTTCTCATCTCAGACACAAGAAAGTGCTGGAAAATGTCGAGCAGCACTTCCAGCATGTACAGCTTCCAGTAAATGTTTAACAAATATCTTTACAGTTATTATAAATATTCCAAAAGCATTTTGCAAATCAAGATTGTCTTGTACCAAGACTGAAGTTTATCACAATATTTTATAATTGACTGACTATCACACATGTCCTTTACCACTTCTGTGACATGAGTTTGCATGATTGATTCGCAATGATTTCCAATTTTACAATGATTTGCAATTTTCTGCAGTCTATATGTAGTTTTGTGTTGTCTGCACATGTACTTTCTTTGGAGACACCATTTGCCTCCTGAGAAATCAGAAAGTGATCAAGATAGTGACTCTGATTGATTTACATATTGTGTTGACATATGACTGTTGACATTGCTTTTTAGTTTTCAATATTTGAGTGAGTTATCGAGTTTGTTTTTGGTTTATGGATTAAACCGATTATATAGTTTTTTTAGTGTTGCACCGATATCCATATTGGTGTATCGGTATCGGCATATTGGTACTAAAATAGAAATATTGGTATTGGACTATCGGTAATTTTGTTGTTGATATTACTGATATTACAAACTGTTATTAAATATTTATCACTTATTTACTGAGACTGAGGGAAACAGTGTGTTTTGTGGACCCGAGACGTATATACAGTGTATCAAGTGAATTGATTTAAATTCAAAAGTATTTAAGTAGAACTGTCATGTCATCTTTGAATTTTGTGCAATGACATAGAATATCAGTATCGGCAAAATATTGGTCCTTCAATATCGGAATGTTGTTGAATTTCCATATCGGTGCATCACTATAAGAAATTTGACAAGCCTAACAGCTGTAACATTCTGATGTTATTTCATGTATTGTTACCTTCTGTAGGTCAGCATCATGTTGGAATGCCAGGGTCTACCATTGGCCCGGTTCCGATTGCTCGTATGTATGGCATTACCATGGAAGGAAACAGTGTGTTGTGTCATATTCATGGTTTTGTACCATACTTCTTCATACCTGCACCAAGCAACATGAAAAAAGATGATTGCCATGCGTTTAAAGATGCACTCAATAGGGCTGTACTCGCAGATATGAGATCAAACAAAGATATGGTTGTACAGGTAATTACAGTTGAACTCCACTATACTGAATTTTATTATCTGGAGCCAAGGCTGGATTTTGGTGGAAATAGTGGGCAGGTGGGAAAAATTTACAGGTGGTGCAGTGGTCTAGCTCACGACTTCCACGGAAAGTTAGGGCTTAGAACTGGCCAATGTCAACAACATGATGTATGCATGTAGCATACATGTACAGTATGTAGTAAGTGAGAAATGCTGTTCTAGAAACCCTATCATAAATTTCTCCTGGGTAACATGCCCCCCTGACCCCCTAGAGGCCTAGAATGCGCCTTGTGTTTGGAATCTATGTTTGTTTTGCTCCCCCATCCCCCAGTCAACGCCCGACTACGCAACTGATTAACAGTCAAGCTCTTGTTCGTTTGGGTGTTTGTCATTCTGCCAAAAAGTCACATGATTTTACACATTTTTTATATAGGCAGTGTTAGCTGTTGATTATCACATAAAGGAAAGTATATACGGTTACCATGGAAACAGAAAGATACCCTTCCTGCAGATCACTATGTCTTTGCCAAAGTTGATTGCACCTGCAAAACGAATCTTGGAATCTGGCATTCGATACAACAGCAACCCTGAGAGAGCTTACACCACGTATGAAAGTAATATTGAATATGAGGTCAGTTGTGGACATTGGATCACGCTATTTTATATTGAATAGTTAAAGAATAGTTAGGTGTTTCTCCTGAAACTACATAGGGATATACTGAAGAGTCCATTATATTGGGGAAAAAGCCACCATCTCGTTTTTCATGCTCAGGATTTAAACCCATACCATAACAACTAGAACTCCTCCAAAATTCTAGGGTATTAATCTCCAAAATACACTACGATATATATGCCTCTGTCTTCTAACATATACATATAGAGAACAATACATGGGTGTGCGGAAATACCAGATTTATTTCGAGTGTTAAACATGATATCTCACGAGTGAGCGCAGTGAACGAGTGAGATATCATGTTCAACACGAGAAATAAATCTGGTATTTCCAAGCATCCATGTATTTTTCTGTTTATTATATAAAGGACAGTCTTTGAAAAGCGATAATTGAAAAACAATAAAACAACCGTGGCAATGCGTTTTACAGCAAGTTCTCTGATTGGTCAAACATATTTCCTATGCTGATTGGCTTGCAAAAATGATATTTTCACACGTAAAAATATCGTATTTTTTGCGTGTGTTTAAATACGATTTTTCTCAGTGGCCAAAAACTCTATATAACACTTATGTTTATATAATAAACTGTAGTTCTACGCTGCATGGATATCAAGTTAACGGAAATAGGGTTAGTTCTAGGATAACAAGGAAAATTTTGAACAGAGTGTCAATCAAAATAGTGTGCATTGAACTTCAGAAAAACATTGCCTTCGACACGTATGCGCGAAAAACTTTTTCCTGTGTATTTAAATCAACCTATTACAAATAAAAAACCTTGGAGTCCATTTTTGGCCGTGCCGTACAATATAATTTTTTTTTTGAATTCAAAAGCCACTCCTTGTGGAAAATGTCCTTCTCAACGTTTCGGAGACTCTTGGTCAGAAGAGTTTTGATTTTTTTTTTGCATTTTGTATTCGGAGCGAAAATTGTATATACGTATTTTAGTCCTGACCGTGAACAGCTGTGAAAAAATGCAACCGTTAGTAAAAAATTCATTAATTTTTAGCGATTCCCAACAAGCCTTTCACGCTCGTATTCGACTTTTCCGCTTTGCTCAGGGACTACCTTAATTGAAATAGCTGTATACTAATTGTGGTACTTTGACAATTATACTTCACTATTTTCTCCCAGAATGTTGTGCATAGTTTTTAAGTTTTAGTATGTTTTATCTCTTTATATAATATTAATAAAGCATACATATCTGTGGCAGAGGTTGGCAGGTAATCTACAGGAGAGAGTATTTTACATCAGGAAAACATTTTCTGCGTTTTTCCACAGTTTCGTAACGCACAAAAAAGACAAAGGAAACGATAGATAGCTTAATATCTACGACGTCGACGTCAGGGCTATGCAGAAGACTGGGACTAGGATGTCGTCCTAATGTAGTCCCAGTTCTCTGCTTAGCCCTGACGTCCTAGCTGGCGTCGACGTCGTAGATCTTAAGCTGTCTATTTTTGGTTATAAGGGAATGGAAATCCAACTTTCATACTTTTTGCAATTTGCATGCTATGGTTATATTATGGAAATAGTATGGATATAATATTTGTGATGTTACTCTGAGTGTGATCGAAGGAACTAGATTCTGTTCCGAAATATCACATACTCGAACCGACCTGACCACGTAGCTCAGTTGGCAGAGCATTGGGCTAGGGATGAGCCGATAAGGAAAATTGCCGATTACTGAGGCCGATTATTTATAAGCCGATTATCGTAACTAATCGGCCGATTAATCGGTACCCGCCGATTATTTTAAAAAGCAAGCAAAACAATCACAAGATGACCAACAATGAAGTTGTAAATGCGGTTTTATTGTTTACAATACACATTATGTACAATTGAAAACAGCTTCAATCTTGCATGTCAATAGTCAAAGTTTAGTTTTGGTAGATCATGGTGTAAAAACAGGATATTGTCAGCTTTGCGGAGCTACAATCCTGGACAAAATATCTGCGACACTTCCAATTACTTGACAAAATGTCGTACTATTATCGTAAATTTAGAAAACCTCCCCCTTTCCCCCACCATTCAATGTTGAATGCATTCATGGAATACGGATAAAACGTCCAACATTGTTTTGGGGGGTGGAGGGGGGCAAACGAGTAAATTATTCCGGTCTAACTGGTAAAAAAAGCCACAAAGGAATGTTTTAACAGAGTGTCGCAGATGGTTTTGTCCAGGATTGTCTGTATCTTTCAAATTAAATAACCAAGCCATTGCGCATTAAAAATTGAGTTTTATGCAGTACTTTCTCTTTCCGTAGTAAATATGGCCAACTAGAATGTATTAGGCTTCAAGAAGCAAATACCACATGGTCGACAAGGTAATATAACACCCTCATGCAACGCTATGCTTCGATAGCTTGTATAGAATGCGATTAAGAATCATATGCGACGACTTTAACGCATTTAATATACGTCGGAGAGCAAGTCAATGTACTTAATAGTGTATATACCAACTATTTTGCACTAAGAATATTCTAAAATACGTTAATCCATATTTATTTGTGTTGTTAGACAGACAAACGCTTATCTGTTGACTGGAATATATTGCGTGACCGCCGCGCTAAATGACTAATCCGATTTTGTTATTGTCGTATAATTAATAGCGCATGCGCATTGACGGTGTACCACGGTACAGCGTGAACATATAAGAATATATATATATATATATATATATA